GCCTTCATGCTAGCTATGGGTGAATATGGTGTTGGCAGAGCCTTCATGCTCGCCATGGGTGCGTATGGTGTTGGCAGAGCCTTCATGCTCGCCATGGGTGAATATGGTGTTGGCAGAGCCTTCATGCTCGCCATGGGAGCGTATGGTGTTGGCAGAGCCTTCATGCTAGCTATGGGTGAATATGGTGTTGGCAGAGCCTTCATGCTCGCCATGGGTGCGTATGGTGTTGGCAGAGCCTTCATGCTCGCCATGGGTGAATATGGTGTTGGCAGAGCCTTCATGCTAGCCATGGGTGCATATGGTGTTGACAGAGCCTTCATGCTAGCCATGGGTGCGTATGGTGTTGGCAGAGCCTTCATGCTAGCTTTGGGTGCATATGGTGTTGACAGAGCCTACATAGCAGTTATATGCTAATATTGTGTTAGCAGCTCAAAGCATTTGTTATGTTGAAGTAGATTTCAGACGTTGCATTTCTGTTTAGTTTGATCAAGATATGAACCTTCATTTCTTTAGAATACAGATGAACGGAATGTCCAAGCAAATGATACCCGAAGGTTTGGGCAACGAGCCGACCATTTCCTGGGCACGTCATCAACTAGTCGTGACTAAACACAAGGACGAGGAAATATCTGCCAGCTCAAATTATGGGATGCAAGATGGAGCCAACCCTGTGGTGGATTTTAGTCAGAACTATTTGGATAATGATGCTATAGTGGATGAGGTAAGAGCCTGGTTGCTTTGATCTTTATTAGAAAAGATACATACCATTTCGTTGATACATCTATAGTTTTTGACAACTTGATTTAACACAACTTTAAAAATGTTAGGCAATTTTTATTAAAACTCCTAACATAAAAAATCCATTTTTTTTTATAGTGAGACTATTAATTTAGTGATTGCAACTTTCTCCATCATCACAGTAATTCAAATAACTAGTAAGACAAAAACAATTTAACTGAGCCGAATCAGGTTTTGTCTTCATGTTTGCTGGAAGAGGATTTAAGATTAGTTAGTCATTAAACCAGATATTGTGTGGATAGAGGGATTTAAGATTAGTCAGTCATTAAACCAGATATTGTGTTGATAGAGGGATTTAAGATTAGTCAGTCATTAAACCAGATGTTGTGTGGATAGAGGGATTTAAGATTAGTTAGTCATTAAACCAGATATTGTGTGGATAGAGGGATTTAAGATTAGTCAGTCATTAAACCAGATATTGTGTGGATAGAGGGATTTAAGATTAGTCAGTCATTAAACCAGATAGTGTGTGGATAGAGGGATTTAAGATTAGTCAGTCATTAAACCAGATAGTGTGTGGATAGAGGGATTTAAGATTAGTCAGTCATTAAACCAGATAGGATTTAAGATTAGTCAGTCATTAAACCAGATAGTGTGTGGATAGAGGGATTTAAGATTAGTCAGTCATTAAACCAGATAGTGTGTGGATAGAGGGATTTAAGATTAGTCAGTCATTAAACCAGATATTGTGTTGATAGAGGGATTTAAGATTAGTCAGTCATTAAACCAGATAGTGTGTGGATAGAGGGATTTAAGATTAGTCAGTCATTAAACCAGATATTGTGTGGATAGAGGGATTTAAGATTAGTCAGTCATTAAACCAGATAGTGTGTGGATAGAGGGATTTAAGATTAGTCAGTCATTAAACCAGATAGTGTGTGGATAGAGGGATTTAAGATTAGTCAGTCATTAAACCAGATAGTGTGTGGATAGAGCTCGCGCAATGTGAACTAAAACTTGAAGGCGAAGAACCAAACATGTATCATATAAAAGCGTGCAAGCCTTTATAAGCAGTAGACGTCAGAAACGTTGGGCTCTTTGAATAGGAGAGCAATTCATTATTAATGAAGCGTTATCGTTCTTTACAGAAAACTAAACAATAGTTCATATCTGATGTCAAATTGTTCAAAAAATGGATGTCCCTTTTTCACGTAACCTTAGACCATTCGATCTTATAACGGTAGTCTATCTGGTCAAATAACTGATCTCTATTCGTTCATATAACTGATGTCCATTTTCTCTTATAACTGTATTCCGCTTTT